AGAAGCTAATGTTGCTGTAGTGAAAAGTTAGCAGAGTGAGATGCCAGACCAGGCAGGTAATGTTACGTCCTGTTTTATCTTTTAACAGCACTGTTTACATATGCCATTCTCTACGTATTCTCTCTGAAATCGAAAATATTTCCACACTGCTGATTTATTCTCGAGTAAATAACGTTATACTCATCATCTTTATCTCAGTTGCTTGCCATCTGCCTGCTGCCGTTTGACGGTGACACAGACTATAACTCAAATAAAAGTTATAATGATAATAATAATCGATGTTTTCACTTTGCATCGATGATATTGGATTGTTGATCATTGCATCGATATATCAATCCAGATCGATGAACCATTTAATAATGATCAAGTACCTAAGTCAGTAATAACGACTTCCAGCTATTAAAATGTGAGGATTTGTTACTTTCCCTGTTTTATATCATAATGAATTTAACTTGGTTGGATTCTGGGCTGTTGGTCAAACAAAACAAGACAATTTGAAATATCAGGCGGGGTTTTTGGACATTTTATAGCCCAAAACATGAATTAACATACATGATAATGGGCATAGTAATTGATAACGAAGAAGCCCTGCTCTTGATAAGGCCAAAAAATTATGTTTGGTGTTGGTTTGGTCTACAATGAAGCCTATTTCTTTTGTGCAGTGTTTCAGTTGCATCCTGACAAAAAAAAAGACTATCATAGCTTTAGACTGTTATTTATCAGGGTGTTTACAGGTCCTTAAAAAGTCTTAAAATGTCTTAAATTCAATGTAACGACAATAAGGCCATAAAAGACATTAAATAGTCTTAAATTTGAATTTAAGTTTTATCTAATTTCATTTATCCATTTTTAAATTTCCTTGAGTGAAAAATGAGTCAAGCCTTTCTGTGTGAAAGTCCACATTTATAATGTTACACATTTTAAAAAAAACTAAAATACTGTCATTTTACTTCATTCTTGCACTTACCTGTTGGCAAAATGTAGTTAAACTTAACTCACTCTAATAACCATATTCCTACATAACCCTTACCTCTGTACAAGACCACATGCATACTACTTGCCTGCAATTCTTACCTGTGATGCTTAAATAAGTAAAACATGATTTGTCCAAAAATTAGTCCTAAATTTAGTTAAAAGGTGTCCTAACAGGTCTTTAAGAGCATTAAAGTTAACTGTCTGATACATGTAGACACCTGTTCACCCTCAGCTTTCAGCTTTGCTTTGTCATCCTTAACTTCAAGTTTTAACTTCTAGTCAAGTGGATTACAGAAGGCACACAGACTTGAAGATAAAACAAACAGAATATGTAAACTAAAGGCCACAAGACAAGCTCACAAAACACAGTATACATGTATACACTCTGTGCATCATACACATGTGCTTCACAGTTACAGCCTGTCAGCTCTGAGGAATCTACCCACGATAAGTGTTGAAGGAAAGAGCCACAGCTGGAAGGCTTTATTATGTAGCAGCTGCAGGCACACAACACACTCACAAATGTTTAACATGCTCGAGAACACGCATAAAACTTTGTCTAATATGATTGAATATTGGATACGTAGAATATTTTTTATCATTGTCATCTGAACATAAGTTTGAAAGGATCTTTTATTACTAAAAAAAAACAAGATTTATTTTCTGTATCTATATCTGAAATTTGCACAAGCCATGAGACTATCATCCTTAGATCTGTTTATTACATTTCATATCACCATCGCAATATCCAATAAAAATTTATCACACATCACATATTTTCTCCGCATCTTGCAGCTCTTCTGTGGATTGATGAGGGTTAATGTCTGTGAATAAACATGTGATAGTGTGTGTGTAGTGCAGGGAGAATTGGGGGAGGGGTGACTTGTTGGTTAAAGAGCTTTTGGATTAGTAGCTTAGGTATTGTACTGCAAATACCTTCTTGCTGTTGCTCTCTTTATTGCACTCTTTACTACTGTCTCTTAGGGGTGGGAACATTTAGGCATTCACAATTTGATTCTGATTTAGAGGGAGATTATGCCATGATAAAATGATTATTGATGCATCATATTTTTTGATATTCTATGTGATTTTCTCTCACTGTGTTACTACTTGAAAATCAGTGTTTCCCCTACCAAGAAAGATGAATAATATTTTATTACTACCTTTGATACGTACCTAATTTGTGTAGACTCATTTAATTTCAGCACAGTCTCAGTGTAAGAGTCTTTACCAGGGTTTGCTGTCATTTATGGTTGCTCGTGCGTGTATCAAGATAACTGGGTACAGAAAGGAGGCGGGGCCCCTGTCCATCCTATATGAAAGTTGCTCAGTGGAGCATGATGCAAAAAAAGTTTGACTTCCCTGTGTGAAATTACTCAGGTTTCCTTTTCTGCTTCTGCATCATTGGGCCCTTAAGCCCCGTTTCCACCGAGCAGTACGGTTCAGTTCAGTACGCGTTTTTCCCGTTTCCACTGTGAAAAGTTGTGGATGGTACCAATGGAACTGTTCCGTACCGTCCCCATTTTTGGTCCCCCCTCTGTTGGGGTACCTAGCACACAGATCTGGTGCTAAAAGGTGGAGCTGTGAACACTGCAGTCTGTTGATTGGTCAATAGAGGACGGTCACTCTGCTCAGGGCTGAGTTGTGGCTGGTTTTGAGGCTCATGTAACCACTGTTCATACTGTGGAGAGTTTTATTAGTAAACTGTAACTATAAAATGAAAGGATGTTTTGCTGCCTCTCACAGTAGCTGGAGTCTGAGAAAAAATAACTTAATTCATTGGGCCGACTGCTGGTGACTTTTAAGGTAGAATGTTAACTTGTAATGTTACTCAGTGCATGAGTTCATGACGTGAGTCCATCAGCACACCTTAAATTTTACTGTGACAACTTTGACCATCACTTTAGTTTTTGTATGACATACACTTTTAGTAATGAGTGGATTTTCAAGCGCTTATATATTAATTTCGACCGGATAATGTAAACTGCATATATTCTAATCCTCCCTCAGAGAAAAAGAAAGGGCTATGGCAACACTAAACCCCTGAGCTTGCCTGAGAAGGACTAAATGCACAAACCCACTATTTTTAAATATCCCATGGAGAGAGACTCTCACTGCAGCCTGTTTTTATTTTGTTCTGGAAATGTCGGCGTGCAGCCTCGTTCTGTGGACGATAAACGAGGTTCAGACTTCCCTCTGTCACCAGTAATGAGGAAATACAGTGAGTGCTGGACGGAGCAGTGAGTGACAACAACCCCGCCCACATTTAAGAGTACTGTTTGCGGTGGAAACACAAGGGTCTAGGTACCATGTCTGAAGGGTTACTTTTGGTTTAAAAGGTACCATACCGAAAGTGTTTGGTGAAAATTGGACTTATGCAGGCTGAGCGTCTAACACCCGGTTTAGCGCTCTGCTAACTTGAATGGGGATAAAATCGTGCAGCTAGGCTTCTAGACTTTCTAAATGTTATCAGACAGATAGGGAAATGAGTCATTTCACGGGGGTTGTGATGCTAAAAAAAAATGAATCCATATTTACAGTCAGTCCATGGAGAAAAGTATTTTTGGGCCCAATGGCATCAGGTGATGGACCCACAAATTGTATTCACTGTTTGGCCACTATGTCAAATTGGTTTTAAAGCCTGATGCTGTTCCTAGGTGCTTGGGTGGCACTAGTTCTCCTGCTTTCTGTTATTCACTGAGGGCAGGGCTCCACTCCATCCACACACATATGGTCACAGACGAGGTGAAGTGAGCGTTACTTAAGTTAACGACAACTTGTTATGTTCCCAGCAATAATGCAGCCCTTGTTTTTTTTTAAATACAATAGCAGTCGAAAATGGACGGACCATACAGAACGTTAACACAATGCAGTGACGCACATTTTCTGGCAATAATGTCGAGAATTTAGTTTAAAAATTCCCGTTATAGACTTTTCTGCATCGAGACATAATCCCAATACATCTACGAATTACTCCCCCGCCTTCTTTTCACTCTGTCTCTTCTTCCTGCCTTATCTGGCAATAAACGTGTGTGAGGTACAAACAAAACTGAAGGTGTATATGTGTGTGTGTGAATGAGATAATAGTTGATATTTGAATTACGCTGAAGCAGCAGCTATCCAAAGTGACTCACATACACACACAGACATATAAACTGAATGTATACACGTCCACTTGTTTACACAATGGCTGGGCGAGAACAAACCAGCCAGCAACACATTTCCAAATAGATGTGAACAGCCCTGACACACTCACTCACACACACACAAATACGTACAGTAGCACTGTGCATAAATTTGCATGTTCCACTCTGTCCTGCCTCAGGCGTCAGGGGAGACGGTCTACCATGTACGGTATTATCTCTGTTCAGATATGCCACTCGAAAGCTTGTTTCCTGGCTTAGTCATATCTGCTTTTCTCTAGGGATGCCATTTCAGGGCACTTCAGTTTATTTTATGCATGCACCCCAGGAGATGCACACCATCTGGGAGAGGCTGTGAGTCATCTGACTATGCTTACTTAAAATAGTTAGGACTCATTATTTTTGGTGTTATTGTTTTTTAAATAGGGAATTAATCAGGTATCAGTTTGTTTTGATCGTTAAAAACAGGGAAAGTAAATAATACAAGAATCTGGGTGGAAGTCTCGTATTAACCGAGCATAATCAGCACCTCACTGCAGCTTCTCAGTTTTTCTCTTCACCTTATTTTACTGGAAGGTTTTCTGAGCTTTTCGTCTTTGCAAGAGGACCTGATTCACTGTAACGTACAGTGAAAAGTATCTCCTTACAGCAGGGGAATGAAAAGGGGCCAGTGATTGGGTTGTTGATCCATCACACATCAGACAGCAGACTTGAATAGACCTTTTTTCAAAGCTTGCATGAGTGATGTGTCTCCCCGCTCCCTTCAAGCCTTTTCAGAATTACATTCCTTTCATATGCCCGTGTTGATCTTTTAAGGATGTCTCCTGTGAAAAGTCTCCTCCCTAAATAATCCGGTCCTTCCCTCTCTGTCACTTTGTCCAGATGAAAAAGAGAAAGCCAAGATCAACTCTGAGGAGCTGCAAATCAAAAAAGTGAAGAAGAAAAAGAAGAAGAAACACAAAGAGGGGGAGAAGCACAAGCGAGTGAAGATGTACCACCGCTCCTGCCAGACCATTTGCGCCGGCCTTCTTCTGCTCCCTCCATCCTCTCCACCTCCCACCTCCTCTCCCTCATCCTCCAATCCCTCTCACAACTCCTCCCTGTCTCCATTCAAGTCCCCTCTACCTGTCTACCCTCCACCCAACAACAAAACTGCACATCATTTACCTTCCTCTCCTACTCTCACCCCCAAATCTCTCTTAAACTGCACCACGCCTCAGCCTTCCCCAACCAAACTCTCGCCGCAGTGCAGCTATCCCGGCATGGCTGGCCTGGAGTTTGCTCCCTACATCCATATAGAGCACCAGCCAAATGGAGGGGCCCTGGTGGCCCATGCCTACACGTCCCAGCTGTCCTCACTCTCCATGGGCCAGAGGCAGAGATTTGCCCAGGAGTTTGTCACCTTGGCTTTCAGCGAGGACTCGTCACAGGTATGACAGAGATATTGACCAGATTGATCCAGAGGTTGCGCTGGACTTTCTGGTTGTCCTTCATTTTGACAGACAGGGGTGTAAAAAACTCTGTCATAAACTATTATTACCTGTCATTTAAATGTTTATTCTTTTAATGATGATAAGAGATATTTAATAGCACAATTGTCATCAAGTAATTTTCAGTACGTACAGAACAAGCTTATGGATTATGTATTTATAAGCAGGGGTGTAGTGCTATTTGTTTAAGTACCACAGCACACTCAGGACGCACACTAAGATGTGGCTCGTTTCAAGAGTTGGGGGCTGGAGCCTATCCTAGCTGACATCTGGCGGGAGGCGGAGTACACCCTGGACAGGTCGCCAGACTATGACAGGGCTGACACATAGAGACAGACAACCATTCACGCTCACATTTACACCTACGGACAATTTAGAGTCACCAGTTAACCTGCATGTCTTTGGACCGTGGGAAGAAGCTGGAGCACCCTGAGAAAACCCACGCTGACACGGAGAGAACATGCAAACTCTGCACAGAAGGGCTCCCCCACCCCCAGGGTTACCTTCACAAATTAGTGTTTGCTGCTATATTATTGCTCTAAAAAACGTATATGGTCTCTTTAACTCTGGAGAGGCAAAACTGTAGATTTTGGAGCCTATTTTTCATATCTGTAAAACTTTTAAGTCATGATGAACTGCAGATTTATCCAAATGTAGAGGGGGTGCAAATAGTGAGTGTTTTTAAGGGAAATTGAAGAAAAGTACATTTGTTTCAAAAGTTTTTATTCTTTGCACAAATTATTCAACTAATAAAAACTAATATTCTTCAAATAAAGTTTAATGGTTAAAAAAATTCAGTCAATAACAGAAAATATACAGTCAACGCAACGTCTCAGTTGATCAGCTGGTGTTGAGTTCAGTGCAGTCTGGTGCACCTGCTATTTTTAACACTAAAAATTTGTTTAGGTGGGTGTTTTTTTTTCTTTCCATTTCATTACTGTCCTTGTGTTTCAGGTAGCTCATAATGTCATGGGAATTGTCTCTCTTGCGTGATACACAGCTTGAATATACTCAAGTGATCATTGGATGCTCAAGTGCTTAAAAAAGTCTACATGAATTTCAACTGGATTTACCGGCATGCAAATTGTAAATATTCTGCTTCCTCTCTTGGAGGAAATAAAGTACTGGTGCATTGATACAGTGCGCTCCAGCAGCACTACACCCCTGAGAGCAAATATGAATAGAGACACCAACCATGCACAGCCACTTTTGACATTCAGCTACAGTGACATTTTGCAATGGTATGTAACAATATAGCCAACCAATGCAATGGTTACAGCAAGCCAGATAGCAAGGTCATGCATGTCAGATCAAAGATAAGACTAGACAACGCTGCTATCTGGACAGGGGTGTGTGCTATTTTTACCCTTATAGAATTTGTTTCGGTGGTTTTATTTTGTAGATTTCATTGCTGTCTTTGTTTTCCAGGCAGCTCATTACGTCATGGGAATCGTCCACGGAGAAGCCAGCTACCTGCCGGACTTCTTGGACTACTTCTCAACCAAGTTCCCATCAGCTCCGGTCAAAATGGAAATACTGGGAAAGAAGGACATCGAAACCACCACTATGGTTAATTTCTACTCTCAGGTCAGTCAGGCACAATCACACACACACATGCAAACATCACTTTGAGGGAGAATATGTATGTTCGGGTGGGATATCGGTGGGATACAATACTGCAACTGAACGGACATATTGCTCATCTGAAAAGCTGATTTACACAGTTTTTGTCTTTGGTTATTCTGGAGTGGTAGAAAAAAAGAGCACAGAGCAGATGGTGAGCTGGCGGACATGAAAAGTAGAAATGGTCAATGTCCAAACTAGCAAGCCTCTTACGTCCTGTCCTCTGTATCTATTTCACTGACTATCACGACTGCCCGTCAACACAGGAACTGTTGAGACACCATCTAGGTGTTTATCCGAGGCCTGAGAAAGTACTTAAAACATGTTGCTCTCATGAAGTCACATGATGCAGTGGGTGTAATCTGAGGTCATATGACAGTGGGAACACACTGTCAGTGAAGTGCAACAGAAAACAATGACGGTGCGATACAGTTACAACTGTCTACACAACTTTCTCACACATGCAGTCACACAGGAGGAGGTGGCGGCCTCCTAATCACTCACTAGAAATCAAATCTGTTTACACGCACAGACAGGTGCATTAGGGCCGCAACTAATGATTATTTTCATTATCAATTAATCATTTTGTCAAACATGCTCTGTGTAAGTTCCCAGAGCCCAAGGTGACGTCCTCAAATTGTTTTATCCAACCAACAGTCCAGAAATCCAAAGCTAGTCTGTTTATTATTATGATAATCATAATAATAATACATTTTATTTATAGGCACCGTTCATGACACTCAAGGTCACCTTACAGGCAAAGATAGAGAAAATTACAGCAGATAAAAAGTCAACTATTTCTATTTGAGAGAGGTGAGTTTTGAGGTGCGATTTGAAAGTGGAGAGAGAGTTGATGCTACGAATGTCCGGTGGAGGGAGTTTCAGAGGTGGGGGCAGAGCGGCTGAAGGCTCTAGACCCCGTGGTGGTCAGAATGGGTGGTGGGACAGTGAGGTGACTGGAAGAGAAAGACCTGAGAGTGCGGGTGGGGGTGTGGATGTGCAAGAGTTGGGACTACCATGTAACGCAAGAGAAAGCATGAAATTCTCACATTTAAGATAGATGAAAAACGACAAACATTTGGCTTTCTTGCTTAAAAATAATACTAAAATAGTTACGTATCGAAAAAAGTTTCCAATTGTTTTTCTGTCAGTCGACTTATCAATTAATCAACCAATCATTGCAGTTCTATGAAAAAGTGGCATTGCAATGGTATGAGATTTTCATGGTATGATAACCGTCTCAGGAAATAATGCAGCAAATGTACACGGTATGATAACCATCAAGTATTATATCTCAAAACTGATATATCACTGCAACCCTACTTCTCAGACTGTTTTAGTTGAATATTTGAAAGACATAAAGAGGTAAAACTCTCCAGTATTTTACAAGAAAAAGAGGAAACAAAAGAAGCAAGGATTTAAGCAGAGTCAAAAAATAAACAGATGAAAGTTCTTCCTGATAATTATCTCACAACCTCTTCGATTCGTCAGGCGACTCTCAGGTTGGGAACCACTGGGTGCACACGTGCATGTACTCACACCTTAGTTTCGACTGAAATGTGTCATGTTGCAGCCCTGGTGTGGTGCAGGGAAAAACATCATTGTTTGTGAATGAGTTTTAGCTCAAGACTCTGTAGCTTTGTGTCTGTTGTGTGCTTTGGTTGTTTTTATAAATTCAGCTTAGTGTTTGCGTGTCTGACTTTTGTAGAACTCAACTCAACTCAAATTATTCATAAAGCACATTTAAAAATAACTCATGTTGACCAAAGTGCTGTAGAAAAGGAATAAGTCGCTAAAGACATATACATGAGAGACAACGTAACTCTGAGGTACACAGCTCATACATTTAGAGACAACACACACAGGTAGACATCAGAGAAAGCCACGACAGGGGGGCTTAAATGCTAATTTATGAAAGTAGGTTTTGAGCTACTGTAGGATTTAAAGAGCCAATGGAGGGGGCAGATCTGATCGGGAGAGGGATCCTCTTCCTCAGTTTGAGGGCAGACACAACAAAGGCACAATCACCCCTGAGCCTGAATCTGGAGCTGGACTATAAATACTTTGTTTTTCACAAAGATTTGCGTCAAAGATATTTTGCTGCTTTGTGATTTTTCTGTTATTATACAGCATATGAACAGAAAGAGAGTTGAGTCATTGAATGGCTCGACCTCTGGGTCAGTGTTCTGTATGCGTTAGCAAAGGTCAAGGAAACATTACAAAGAGACAATCAGAAACTTAGAGATGAATGGAGAGGTTTAGCTACAGTACAAGTTAAAGGAGAGGATGGAGGAATATTGGGGGGAATAAAGACTGGATGACTGCTGTGTGAGAGTGAGAAAGTTGTATTGTTGAGGCTCTAACCATCTGGTTCGAGCATCTGCCTCAGTCTGTCCAGGCTTTAACAGCTTTTGGCATTGATACAGATATCTTGATTTCTCCGAGTAAATGACAACATTAACAATGACAGCAGAGTTGTGTGCAGAGTGCAGGTGGGGACTGCTGCTCTCACTTCAGCTCCCTCTTAATCTTACAAAGCAAAGTTTAAGTGAGAGCGAGAAAGGGGAAGCAAGAGGACAGCATGTGAGATAGTGAAAAGAGGAGGGAAGTCAGCTCAGATACAAGGGGTGAAAGGTGGTGAGAAAGTGAGGAGCTGCAGAAGAAGAAAGGTTGATATCAGAATAGAGAGGTGACAGGAAAGGAAGCAGGAGAATGTTAAAGCAAGAAGTGAGACTGTGAGAGATGATTGCTCGCAGCAAGTTGGGTTAGAGAGTCAAAACCAACACAAAAAGATGTTTTTCTTCTTCTCTTTTCAAAAGCACAAGTATGGCAGCCGCTCACCCACTTCTCAACGCACTGCACAACCTTTTGAGGACAACTGGAAAAACAAGAAATGTGTGTGTGCTGCTACTGGTGTCTGTCCGGATTGTCTCCCGCGAGCACAGCGACACAGCTAGACCTCTTCATTTAGAGCTGTCCCATGTCCATAGTACACTAATGAAAAGCCCTTTGTTACCTCAAACCTCCTGAGTGGCTTTGTATTGAGATACTGCCTGCTCGTTTTCAATGTGAGTGCAGGCTACCTCACTGTGGGAGAGTGTGTGTGTGTGTGTGTGTGTGTGTGTGTGTGTGGTACTACAGGGGGTAGAGGAGTTTATGCTCTCTATCGCTCTCCTCCTGGCTATTTTCTTTCTTATTATGAAATATTCATAATGTTATTCCGTGTGTTTGTTTCAGTTTTGGCCAGTTCTGCTTCGACAAACACATCTTTGATCTCGGCATGTGTCTGAATAAATTATACCGAAAATAATGAATGAATTAAACCCTTAAATTGTCCTTTGTGTAAAAGGAGTTTTCTCCGCAAACCTGTGTCCAGAGCTGTCCCTTTAAGAGTAGTGTTCCTTGCAGGGCTAACGTCATTGTCCACTGGTCTTGTTAATTTTTTTTCCCCCTCCCTTCCAGCTCTCAGCAGTGACCTTGGGAAGTAGACATACAGTCCACACACACACAAACAGATGTGAGCATGCACACTGATATATATACACAACACGGGCACACACACACACACACACACACACACACACACACACACATAGAGGCAGATTAATGATTTCTCTCACACATTTTTCCTCCACCTTTCTTTCTCTCCAGCTCTCCCTCTCTTTAGTGTCTCCCTCCCTCTGTGTTAGTTTGTCATTCTCTCTCTTTTATCCCTCCACTCTGTTGTTTGGCTCTCTGTTCCAGTTGCTGGACAGCTGCTTTTTGTAATGTGTGTGTGTGTGTGTGTGTGTGTGTGAGAGAGAGAGAGAGAGGAAAATGGCCTCCAATGTTCTTTGCTGTGTTTGGTGCATTTATTCTCCTGTATAGATTTGGTTTTATCCCTGTGCTGCCGGAGTATGAGACACAATCACCTGCGTACGTTTTCACTTGATAATGAGCTGTGTGTGTGTGTGTGTGTGTGTGTGTGTGTGTGTGTGTGTGTGTGTGTGTGTGTGTGTTCACAATTTGACTGCAGGTATCAAAGTTGCTCTGCTGCCGCTCAGGCTGCGTGTGAGTGTTTTGTATTCAGTACCCGACTGAAGGCATTTTCAGCGGTGCTAAGGATTATAGAAGATTACAGCACTCTATTTTCTCAGGGCAACTGCAGCTCGACAGTCAATACATGATGTGCTCCGGCAGTGAGGTAATTTGGTCTTTCCGGTTTAGTCGCTAAGTAATAATTTAGTTATGACATCAGATTAATATAAGGCAGAAGGACAGACTGCAGCTTTTTAATATGATATTAATCTGTCCGCACAGTTTGTTCATGCGCAGGTTTAGACTTGGTATCTGGCAATTCTGGCAAATGCGAGATGGGCAGGCCCACCAAGCAGTAGAGTGTGATTCCTGTCGCACATGACAGGACATAACTTTACCGACTGCTGTATTGTCCTTCCTGAAATTAGTGGCCGTGGATTCGGTTGTTTGATTTAACTCACTTATTGTAAAATTCTGAAACCATTCTTCCATTATTTGTGACTTTGATGGTGCAAAATAACAATTGCGTAGTGTAACATTAACACAGATAATTTGTACCAACTCAGTCTTAACAAGATTTCTAGCTAGTTTTGTTAAGCTAAACGTCAAAGCAATGTAACGTCCATCAATGCTAATAATGTAATGCAGGTCACGAAATGTTTAGAGCTAGTTTACTAGCTAGTTTGCAGGATATATCTCTGAAAAAAGGGTGATTAATTTCATCAGATGAAATTTGAATCCAGTTTGAACAGCACCAATATTTTTGTAGAAAATAAGCCAGGCTTTCTCTGAATGCAGGACCAGCCTTCATGCATCTTAAAATTAGGAATATGTGTGCTTGAACTGCCACCATGAGTGTCCACATGTCCTCACATAGCCTGAACAAGATAATTGTTGACCGTGTCATGACATCTCATCTTAGTTTATCGTTTTCCGCCCCCATTTTT